AATAATAATAATGTCTTCCAGACCGAATTTTAGTCACGGCGGCCAGCCTCAACGGAGACTAGCGATCGGCGCAGGAGAGGATTATAGTGCTCAAGTGTATGCGCAAGCACAGGTGCACTCTCTATTCCCTCACTCTCGTAGTCCGATGGGATGGTAAACTGACACGACTGGAGAGAGACCAGGCGCAGGACCAACGGCTTTACGTGCTTTCCGAGTAGAGTGGGTGAGACACCGCTAACTTCCTGACTCCGGGCAGCTACTGAGAATATCTTAACGGAAAAACTTAATAACTGATTTTTTTAGCCCGACCCGGGATTCGAACCCGGGACCTCATGATCAACAGTCGCGTTTACAACCACTGGACTAATGAGGCAGTCAAACGGCATTTAGTAATCAAGTCACGGCGCCATAATGCAGGTCTGTTCTCAGCATCGGTGTGGTTGTGCGGCACCCAACGCGGAACTATCCTCCTCACGTGAATGTGTTCGTGTCAAATCTTGTTAACGCTTCCTAATCCTATCCGCAATATGTGCCTAATCTCTTCATACGTAATTTGCCTATTCTTTTTAACAAATATTTACTTAAATTATTTACTGTTAGCACGTTTCCTTCCGTAAGAGCCGTCAAAGGGCGAACACTTTTTCATTGATTACGAAGCCGCTTAATTTTTATATATTCGAATGAATTCAATGTTTAAAATGTCGTTTAACACAAGTAAGGGTTACAAATGAACATACACGTCATGGATGGTAAGCGGATACTGCGGTCTATATAAACCTATACATCCTTAGGAGTCAAAATGCTGATGCGAGATAGATTTTACTTTTGACATCATAGTCTACTATTGACATCATTCTACATATATGACAGAATCTACATATGACAGATTCTACATTCTACAAAGACAGATTTTAAATTTGACAGATTCTATATTTGACAGATACTTATTATTAATAAATATTAGTAAGTAATAAGTATTATGCTGCTGCATAACGCTTGTATTCTGTAATCAGTAAGTTACAATACAGCTGCAGTGCAGAGACACACCACGATAGTGTAAGACAAATTAAATTTTAATGGATTTAATTTTTTCAAACATATTCATTTTTTTAAAGATTTTTGTTTTTTCTAATATATTATAAGCAGCCTCTTGTTTACTTATTTATAATATTCTACGTAACGAGCGTGTGATTTGACCTAATGATCAGAGTAACTATCATTGCAGGTCCTAGGTACGAATCTTAGTCGAAGAAAATAATTAATATAAAATTAAAACAATATGAATTTGTTGTATTGTATTTCTAATAATAAAGAATCTTTCCTTAAGTATATTAATTTTGATAGAAACAAAACCTGAGAAGTAAATTAACATGTGACATTAACAATAATAACAAAGTGTGACGTCACTGCCCTGGAAGCTCCGTGGGTGTCTGCTGTCTCAGCAAATTATTGTTTTCTTGGTAGTACAGTATACTTCGTCGTGAAGTCTTCGTAGGTACAGCTATTCTTTCCAAAAAGGTTTCGGTAAACTCAATTACAGACCGCAAATGTAAAATTTCTGATTTTTTTTCGGTATTGGGATGGTATGGTATTTAAGGCTAAACCGTATCGAAAACCGAATAGTTAAAATCGTATTAGTGTAAAACTCTTTACATCAGGCAAATGTAGCCCAGGTTGCTTGCGTTCCATGAAGCGCTCAATCAACCTTTTGATCATTCGAAAGTTGCTGCAATGGTCGAAAAATCGGTCATCATCATCGTCACATGTGTAATATAATATACATTTCATAGAGGTATGTTTATCTAGTTTTTGTAGATAATATTTTATATTGGAAGTCTGTAAGATGTCTTGTCAAAACAGATAGTACTAATAGCACATAAACGTTTACCGTCATTTTTAGTTGTGCGACATCACATAATAATTATGCATGTCGATATAATGACCAGCTTTGCCCGTGTAGGTGACAAGGTCGCCGAAACAATAGGAGCGCAGAAGGCGCCGGCTTCTGCAAACGACTCCTGCCACTCAAGTCTAGCAAGGCCACCTGTATTGAATGTTTATTGTTAAAAATATATTTTTTATTTAATTTTTATTTGTTATTTTATAAAAAAGAGCAAGTTAGTTCATATAATATGTTACTTATGTACCTACTTTATTTCAAATAATATTTTCGTATCCATTTTGTTACAATTGATATAATGACAATATTTCTTATAATTTTCTTGTAGAGATATTTTTAGCTTATTATAAGCCAGTGCTTGACTACAACCCCATCTGAACCTGGTAGTAAGCGGTCTCTAGAATCTAGAGTATCTCGAGATTTTTTTTATAGGATAAAGGTGACAGCATTTATTATACCATCTAGATCTAGAGTGTAGAATCTAGACTCTAAATGGTATAAATCGCACTGTCTTAGCGTAACAAACGCCACTTATATCAACACTTATCATTCAAGCTGTTGTGTGCATGATAAGTATTGCTTGCATTTTTGTTTAGCGATTATGTTTGTAAGTTCATATAGTAAATATCTATAATTCAGGAAAGTACCTACATTTGGGCCACAATCGCGTTGAATTATGAAATAATTCCTCCTTCCATAAATCCATCCTTTTTATAAACAACTTATTAGCTATACGTTCCTTTATTCATTTTTATTTGAACTTTTCAGTTTACGAAATTTAATTCTTTTCAGTGAACCGTCTGCACGTAATCCGTCTGGCGTATCGTTGTTGTCTACTTTTACTTTATCATAATAACTTTGCTGGATTTTAAAAAATAGCTTTAAATAATTCATAATTGACGTATTACCTAGCTACATAGTTTTACTAATCATTATTAAAGGTTTTGGAATACGAAATGCTGTTATGCATTTTTTGTGATTGTTATAAGACGTGGTTGTACGTCAGCCATAATAAATAAATAAATGAAAAAGATAATGAAATATTGAATTTTATTATATCATTCTTATTTGTTAAAAAAAAGTAAGAGACACGGACTTTAACAAATTTTATCATCCTTATGCTACAGTCGTGAATTTTATGATATAGAACTAAATTTAAAAATTTTTCATATAGAAAAAAAATATAGAACTAGCTATTCCCCGCGACTTCGCCCGCGTGTTATTGAGCGTTTTAATTTTCTTGCGCGGAATCCTAATTATTTTTCTAAAATATAAGTAGCCTAAGTTACTACTTATAACACCAGCTATCTACCATCGACAGTCCCGTCAAAGTCGGTCCAGCCGTTTCGTAGATTAGCTGGAATAAACAGACAGACAAACATTTTAAAATTTATGTTTTTGTTATAGGTACCGTATATACTTTTAAATGCAATTTGTAAAAAGCTGTTATTTTGACATTACAAACAGACACTTCAATTTTATTTACTTGTATAGATAAGGGTGGCAACGAGTTCACAGTCCACCTGATGGTAAGTGAATGCTGTAGCCCATAGGCAAATATATCTATCCTCGATTAAGTATCCAAATGCAGAGGCGTTTTTCACTCCTGAGGACTGAGATGGAACGTCTCGTTTCCAGTAAAAAGGGTCTTCGGTTCTCCACACTCACCATACGAAACACAGCAGCATTGAGCTGCTATTTTACACTGGTATTCTCTGAGAGGAGAGCGTGGTCATTCATCGGTCGAGCCGACCCATTCGTGCTACAACCATAACATAGCTGCAGTGTGGCTCTACCACGTGTAAATTATGATTATGATTTCTCTAATACCTTTACCAATGGAATTATATAAGAGTTTAAAATTTATGGATAACATATGGGACGGTGGGCAAAACAAACAAGTCATTCTGATTTTTTTTAAAGTGAACTGACAAATGAACTTAGTCTTCCCGATGGTAAGTGGCAACTACAACGCATGAACACCTGCAGCCAACTTCAAACAAAGAAACCACCTCTGAGGACTAAGATGGAATGCCTCACAGTCAGTTATTGTACTTGCTCTCTTTGCCCTTCAGAGCGAAACAGCAGTGCAGGCACCGCTATTTGGCAAGACAAATATGTAAGAGGGTATCTATACAGACGGATTCCTAGGCAGAAAAAGAGATCCTACCACCTTTCATAATAATATAATTACTTACAATGTAAGTAATATAATTTACTTTCGCTTTATCATGTCATGATAAAGCGAAAATAAACCTATTTGATACCGTTGTAAACTCCTCAATATGGTGAATAATCGATAGCTAATTTTATACAATGCTTATTGTTCGGTTGAGAATGGATGTATTATTTACGATGAGTGGCCATAAAAGGAATGCTACTGGGCAGTAAAATACATTTATTTCTTTATCATGATTGTCTATTATTAATTGATTTGAAATGCGTACCGGTTTTCTGTCAACAATTGTCATCGTGTTAGAGTGTTTTGCATCAGCCTTAGTATTAGAAATAGTAAGGATGTTTATGTAGTTGTAGTTTAGAAAATACCAGTGACCGTTTGTTCCAGTCTGGTTCCGGCATTCCACCGGTCGGCCTCGTTTAATCTCTGTGTCAAATTCTAATCAATCCAATTTTATATACAATTGCTTTAACGTTACCCAAATTTCGTGTGTTGTTTAGTAGTACCTACATTTAGATATTTAAAACATTATATAAAGAAAAAAAATTATCATTGTCATTTTTAATTAATCTGATATTAAAAATCTGTTGCCATTTACATTAAATTATTTGAAATTTATTTATCACAAAATCATTACATAGTCTGTGCAAATATTATATTAATCTGTAAATTCAGTTGTTTCACGGAAAATAAGAGTAGCCTTAGCAATATCAGTTGGTATCTGAATCATTCTGGTGCGTTTTATTATTATATCTATCGATTGACGGTAACCTGGCGATAAAGTTTTTTCATCTTAATGTCAGAACGACGGCCGCGGCTGTAGGCACGAATTGTGAAACACAGTAATCTCGTTTTCAACTTTAATAGTCAGTGATAAAGACAGATGTGGCATAAAAATTATATAGTGTCAGTGGTATTTAGATGGTGCTAAAGGTGGACGACATGTCAGACTGGGACAGCACTAGTATACACGTGGGTGGGAACGCCTGCTGCCGGGTGCGGCGGAGTATGCAGTGTTTCGGATTCCGTGGTAATTTTTCCAATTATTATCGCATCGGAACGCGAGATGTGTGCTCGTTTGATCACATTCCAACACTTTTTTGTCCAGAACGCCGCGCCGCAACTTCCAGTTATGTCATGTTTTAAAGTTGCAAATGCTACATAGCATGTTGTTGGACACGAAACATGCCTTTCAAAATGGACACAAACACAATTATTATAAATAATACATTAAGGGGCTACTCCATGCGAACGACCTTGAGCATTTGACCGCTTGCTACAATATTAAAATATTGTAGCGAGCGGCTCGCCGGAAGAAATATGTAAGACGCCACCTATTGTACGAAAGTAGTATTATTTTTTCAACATCAATAAACTATTTTATGGAAATACACATAGCGTACAAAGATAAATGTATTTTAATTTTTTTATTCTGTATATATTAGTTGCATTATATTAGAATTATGTATTTTCATATATTATCTAATTATGAAATTTTATAATTAATTAATATATTAAAACTGAAGCATTGAAAATTGTGAGTTTAAAAGATACCTATTCACTATAGGTAAATAAATAGATAGCTCGGCTTTTGTACAAATATTTGGTGCAATAAAAAATAAATAAATAAATAGGATGTTTCGCAGATGTGTTTTTGATTATTGTTAATTTTTACGTGTCACGTATTGAAAAGTTACCTACTAATTTTTGAACTTATGCTGGCAGATATTATCCTCACCCCAATGATTGATGAGGATGAAAATCAATTTTATTTCTACATACGTAATTATATTTATTTATACATAAGGGTAACTTTAATAAAGGTAATACAAAAATCAACAAGAAGTATAAGGGTTCAATCTTTCAATTTCAGTTGTAAAAAAACGTTACCCCCACACTAGGATTTTCTCCTGTGTCGTGGAGGCAGTTTACAAACATAAATTGCACAAGGACAAACATCCAGACCCGGAGCAATTATTTGTAGGCCATACAAATACTTGTTCCATGCGGGATTCGAACCCGCGGCCCCCAGCGCAACAACTGATTGCTAAGCCACTATGAAGCTAATACAAAGACTAACTTTGTATTTGCTTCATGGTCGCCGGGTTATAGCTAAAGTGACCATACGTCCCGTTTTGAACGGGACTGTCCCTTTTCTCGGTCTCCTGTCCCAATGTCCCCAAACAAAGCTCCGGGACACAAAATTGTCCTGTAACTCGTTGGATGGAAGTATTCAAAGTCAACAATCTTCAACATAATTTTTTTTAATCGAATATATTTTATGTCTACCTGGTACGAATGCTCCGGTAGAAAGAGTATTTTTTTATTTTGCATAAATTGTGGACGTCTGAAAGAAACACTTACGGTTCCAGAGTTCTAAAGGCGATGTTGTTAACAAAGATAACAATAAAAAACTTGAGCAGAATTTTATTCTTATTTATTTATTTATTTATTTCAACACTTACAACTATCTTTACAGGTAATCCTAATACGATAGTGTAACTATTCTATATGCTATTATTATAACTATTTTATGTGCTATTATTATTATATGCAATTATCTTTTTAAATTAGGTACATAACAAATAATGTATAATGCTATCTTTGTGAACTCACTCATTGGACAGCAAAACAAGTATATTTCTCTCGCTAAGAAATTAAGTGTGCAGAGAGCAAGTGTGAGGGGCGCCTGACGCATTAGGTTTGTCCTTCCTTTCGGCACGGCAAACAATTGTGGCCGTCGCCGTCTCCCTATGTATCCGTCGGGTACATACATGTTTAATTGTTTTAGTATTTCAGGATTAAATATTTTCCCTATGAGTACCTTATAAATATATAAAACTAGAGCAAGTTCTCTCCTAACCCTAAGTTCATTGTATCCGACCATTCCTAAAATGAATAAGGTTGGATACATTAAGGGATAGAATGGGTACACGCCGTAAAGTTTCATATACAGATATCTCACAAATTTATTCTGTACCCTCTCCAACATTAGGTTATACTTAGCTTCATGCGGAAACCAAACGATTGCATTGTGTTCCAAATGACTTCTGACCAAGGCATTGTATAATACAATGATTGCTTTGACATTTGTAAAATTATTTACTCGGCGAAGAACAAACCCTAGATTCCTATACGCCTTTTTGCAGATATTAATAACATGAGCATGAAAATTTAGTCCGGAATCCATTTGAACACCCAGATCCCGCACTTCTGTAACTCTTTTCATAAGCTTATTGTCAACCTCATAGATTTGCAATATAGGTGTTTATTATATTATTTATATATATATTGTATTTATTTAAAATCATCACCAACTTTATTAAAGCAAATTTAATCCACTGACAAATGTAATTAATAATTTAAAAAAATATGTTGCATTTAATAATTACCGTCTATACCGAATATAATTTTATAGTGAACACTAATTGTATAAAGTTATAGTTTTTAGAGTATAAATAAACCCATGTCCTGTTATGAGTTAAAAAATAAATGGTCAGTTTAGTCTTTTTAGTTAAATTTAGTTTTAAATTTTTTTAGTTTATAGTAAAAAGTAGGTATATTAGTACTTTTTACCGAATTATAAGTATAGAACACCTTATGTACTCAATTATTATTTGAAAAAGAAGAAAAAACAAGCAATAAATAATATACTATATTTTAGCAAAAAACTATAACTTAGTTAGTAATACTAATTATAACTTAGAACATAAATGAAAAACTCATAACTGACTTTTTGGCCCGACCCAGGATTCGAACCCGGGACCTCATGATCAGCAGTCGCACTACTACAACCACTAGACCAACGAGGCAGTACTATACCTGATAAGATATTGTGGTTGGGTGATAATATTGAATTAGCCTTTTATAGTGTAAATTATAATATTTGTCGAAATTTTAATTATAGATTCGAACCTTACATGCTAATGGTGCTTCATTTTTTTTATTTGCATTTACTTCAAAGAAAATACACGCAAAAAGCTTCATCGCGCAGTAAAAAACACAACAAATATATGTATAACTAATACGAAAAATTATACCCAAAACAAACAAATAATACTACCTATAAATAACCTAATAAGTAATAATATTATCGACTCATATGACGTGGCGTATGCGTTGGTCGACGCTCTAACAACACGGGCTTCACGTCGAAGAGCTCAGCGCTCACTGACTTCAGCAAGCCCGTGAGCAGTAAATATGCCCAGATTTTAAAATAATTTCTTAATAAAATCAAATTTTGGTCTTTTGAAAAAAAATTTACTATAGAAATGTTCATTAATAAATTGCCTATCCATTGGTGTAAATCGCAAAATAAAATAATACTTACTTTACGAGGAGATGCATGTTATCAATAATAATTTCACATTTATGTGGTTTCGTTGTAAGGAGATTATATTAATATTTATTCCTTTAAAAAAAAAATTGGATATAGCTTTTATGGAATCAAGATTATGTAGAAATATAATGTGTTTTTTATTTGTTGATATATCTTTTAAATAAAAAGTAGATAGCTTCTAAAAACCGCCCAAATAACGACTAGCGCGACATTTTGCTCAACCTGCGCCTTAAACAGTTTTGGCAATTATAGGACGTAATGAAGAAAACTCTTTAAATATTTTGAAATTTTAACGATATCGAATACCTAGAAATGATAGGCATTTAGATTTCGAATTTCAAAAAATGAATGTATCTATCTAATCGAATATTAATGTATGCTTCATCAGATCATTACTCCATTTACCTAGTAAGGGATTGCCCAACACTGCGTTTGGTTAGTACGAGGTTGTCATTCGAAAATCTTTCTTCGGTCGTCGGTTCTTGGGGTTATATATGTGGTTCGCTTATTTTTATTTCAGCTTACTGACCCGTTATGCTACATCACTTAACACTTAGTTACTTTCGTATTTTGGTATTCCTAAATAAAATATTTACTAGAAACTTGCATAATTAGCGCATATTAAAAATAATAAGCTACGGTGCGACTCTCCTTTTTAGGTTTCCGCACCCGACGATAATTTTCCGTAACCAACGGGACCTTATTACTCCACTGTCCGTCCATCTGTCAGCGGGCTGTATCTCATATCAATGTGTATTTCTGTTGTCGCTATAACAGCAAATAATAAAAATAAATTAAAAATTAAAGGGGGCCCTACTAGAAACGTGTATTACGATGATAGAGAACCCTTCATGCGCGAGTCCGGCTCGCACTTGGCCGGTTATTTTATTTACTGTCGAAGAATTAAAATTATAATTCTAATAAGCGTAAAATCCATCGTACCGACCTGAAACATATGACATCGTTGAATATTGCATATTAAAAACTAAATAAATGAATTCATGCTCAAGAAATCATTTCCTTTGACTACAGTTTTAAATACCACCTTATTTAGTCATGTCCGATTAATTATAATTAAGTAAATTAAACGTCATGAAATCCGTAAAAGTAGTTTTATTCAACATGCCCGATTATTCGTAACAACGATGATGCTGGTATTTGTCGTGGAATACAGCGCTTTGGTTAAATAACCGTTTATGCGGTTTAAAGTAGTTGCATGTGTGATTTTGCGCCGACTGGCAGGCGCTCGCGTATATCGATGTGTTGTAAATATAGTGTCCCTGTTGCTTTTATGAGGCTCAATTTGTTTTATAATGAAAAGAATGGAGTTGGCGAGTATTTTTCATTTATTTACAAACCTAACTGTTTTAAATCCCTTAAGTTTGACTCATCGGTAGCTTCATGTTTTACAAGACAGGGCATAAACATGTGTAACGTTACTAAAACGGTTAATTTTTGAATAATATGAACCATGTAATAACATAAACTGATTTTATAAAGCGGATTCATGAAGTAATTCATAGCAATTAACATATGAATATGTGCGGTAAATATAAACATAATAATTTTGACAAAATCAAAGATGAAGTCTGTATAAGTTTTTTAAAAACCGGTAGGATTGAGCGCGTCTCGCAGACAAGAGCAAGTTATTCCATAAACGGACAGCTTGTACAGTAAACGACCTGTTCAAAAATTTGGTAGTTGTGAGCTGGCATTTTTAATATTTAACTTTTTGATGATCTCAAAAGCCTCAAATGTGGATTATGGAGGGACTTAAACCGATCTTTCAGATAAAAAGGGTAGGATTGAATAAAAAGAACATTAAAGGAGCAAGATAATGTAGAATATGAGCATCCGGCGAAGGCAAATTGGCAGCCACTTGAGCTTGTTTACAAAAATACGACACAGGTACTCATATTTGCGCAAATCAAATGCGAATAAAAAACAGATATGAAGACAAAAATATTCAAGTTGAAGGTCACTCAAGTTACGCCCAAATAAAACTCATTTGTATTTATTTATATATTTCTTTATTTATGGGATACTTAGGCCTATATTACTCATTGCTAGTAGTTAGAATTAAAGAAAAAATAAAAATAGGTGGTTTTTCAGGGTGTACTATTTGAAGTACAATGGGCACTTATGAGTGATAATTTCTGAAACATTCTTTATCAATGCACAGAGTTTTCTGGCACCGTATACATTGCTACTTTATGCGAGGATGGCATATAACACATCGTAATTGTTTAGGTAGTTTTCCTGGATTATGTCCATTGTTACTTGGGCTTAGACCACCTATGGTTGAACCAGAACGGCGGCTTTTGTTGCAATTACGAAGTTGAAGATAATTTCTTGCTATATGTCTCCTAAAAGCCAACTGGTCCAAGCACTCGCTACCAGCCAAAGTATGCAGACGCCAAGCGTTAGATATACTCATATCAAGCAAGTATGTGAAAATAGCCCACCACCATTTTTTTCCACGAATACTTACGCGATACAATGAAATAGATCCATCCATCTCATCAACGCCGCCCATCCCTTTATTGTAGTTTAGGAATAAACGTGGAATACTCACGTCTCCTTTTTGTCTATTCTGTGAACACCAGCGTTTTACTTTGCCAATAGGTTCAATTGTATCAAAGTTTGTACCTATGGTACACACGATATTGTCTTTCCACCTAACAAGCAGCAGTTCATTATTTATATCAAACTTATAATCAAATTCTGCTCTTGCGGACTTTTTCATGATATTTACGGGGCGTAATGGGCATTTCTTTGTCCGATTATCACGTATTGTTCCAGTAGCTTTATACCCAGACTCCTTCAAGTCTCTCAATAAATCACAACTAGTAAAAAAGTTGTCGAAATACACTGTATGCTCTTCTGGTATTGTCGGCATTTTATTCAGTAACGACTTTACAACTCTATTACCAAGTGATGCTTTTGAAATTTCAGCTGTTTTACCACAGTACAAATCGAAAGAGTAGCAGTACCCATCAGAACTGGCAGCTACCCAATTTTTATAACCAAATCTGATGGGTTTACCTCTTATGAACTGTTTTGATGAGTGGTGGCCATAATATTTTATCATAGACTCGTCGATCGATATGTTTTCATGAAAAACGCCAAATTGAGAGAATTTTTGCATCAACATATCACACAATGGCCTCACTTTGAACATTTTGTCTTGAGAAGCACTAGCTAAACTATTGTCTACCAAATGGAGATTTCTTTTTATATCCAGAAACCGATTTCGAGAGATAGAATTTGTCACAAGCGGTATTCCAAGGTCTTCGTCATAGCTTCAATACTGCCGTTCTCTAGGTAGTTTATGATATCCAGATAGGATAAGCACTCCTAAAAATCGGCGCATATCATCTTGATCTATTTCGAAACCATGTCTATTTTTCTGTCCTGCATATAATAACGTATTACGTATAATCATAGCGTAAATCTCGTCATCAAATATTTTTTCGAAAATCTCAACAGGTGATAATCCTTGTAATTGGTTAATTACCTGGCTTTTTCGTGACGAACATGTATTGTCAGGTAATTGAGATGAAGTTGAGTAAGATGGCATACATTGTCTCCACTTAGGCACTAAATCACGTGAGTCTTGGCGGCTCCGCTTGTTGGCCAAAGGTTCATCATCACTGTCTTCCCATTCAGTAGAGTCATGACGTCGACGCATTACCTCCAACATTCCTGGTACTTCTCTAGGTAAATCCGACGGCTGCAAGTCATCTTCGCCTTCTTCTTCGTTAGTAACAATAGCTGGATCTGGTGGTAAAATCACCACATCATATTCTTGGTCCCACTCTTCTTGCGCTATAGCATTGACAGATTCTTCTAGGCCAATAAAATTTTTACAAGCTCGAAACACTGACATTTTATCATGTAAGATCTGCATAAAAGAGAAAAACAATATTATATCACGTGTGCCCATTGTACTAAAAAAACGACAGTCAACTACATCAATCCGTAAATCTTAGGAATGGCAAAAAGATATATAGCATTTTAAGATTTCATTAACGTTTGATTATTATTTATTCATATGGTAAAAAAATTGTGTCAAAAAACATAATAAATACACGAAAAAATAAAAATAAAAGCACTTACCTCTTCACGAAAATTAATGTATCCGATAAATGTCAAAAAATGGCGGCAATGTCATAGTCAATAATATTTTTTTTAAATTAATATTGTTAATAGTGACATCTGTCAGTAATTATGTAGATTAATTCATCAATAGATAAACTGGTATTTTTGAAATTAGGATTTGAAGAGGTGTCGTTTATTTGGTACAGAGGGCGCAAATGGGTTAAGTTGCTTTTCAGTGTGATCATTTACTAAATACTTTATTTTTTCGAAAGTCAATTTTGTTAATCAACATAAATTATGGCCCGTGTTTTCAAAATAATTTTAATTTTGTAAAAAAATCTTATATGACACTATTGATCTGTCCAGACCAGACTTCGCCTGGGTAGGATCTGTAGCGTTATTTAGACTTAGGGTAATAAAATATTTTAAAAGAATTGGCACGAGACCGCGGGGAGTAGGACTGTATGATATAATTAGGTTACTAGTTTTAGTTTTTTATCATAGTTTTTAAAATCATATTTTTTAATTAATATTCCGTATTTTTTTATAATAAGTTTTTCAGATAATTTATATAGCCCAGATTGCTTTCTATCTGTTTGTGAAGTTCTATTACAATTGATTCAGCCATTCTGAAGATTAGCACGGACAGGCGGGTTGACAGACAAAACATTTAAAAATGGTTAGTCATGTTTTTATGCCATGCAAATAACCCCCTCAGCTCAATATTACAGGCAGACGCTTTAATTTTATTTATTATATAAACTAGCTGTTCCCCGCGACTTCGCCCGCGTGTTAGGGTTTTATGTTTTTTTTTTAAATAAAAGTAGAGCCCTAATTCTTTTTCTAAAATATAAGTGGCCTAAGTTACTCCTTATGAAATCAGCTATCTATCAATGAAAGTCCCGTCAAAATCGGTTCAGCCGTTTCGGAGATTAGCTGGAACAAACAGACAGACAGACAGACAAAAATTTTAACAATTGTATTTTAGTTATAAATACCGTATTTACTTTCATATGCATTTAGTAAATAACTGTAATTTTGACATTACAAACAGACACTTCAATTTTATTTATTTGTATAGATTTACTGTGCTTAGCTTAATAAAATTGGGGGCACAGCTTATGTGGAAGCACATAGATTGTTGGCGCGTTTCAAGCGTAATTGCTTCGTCGATTATCTTTGTAATTTCTCACCGTTGTCAGTAGAAAAAAGGAATACGGAGCAAACTCATTGTTACGATTTTATGTGATCGCAGGAGTAACCGATCCCGTTAGATTATCTCTGCTATTATAGTAAATTAAGGGTTTCTGCCAGTGTTTCCACTGTCAGGTTTTAATTTTGCCCTAGATTTTTTTTTTAATAATTACCCTAAATACATAAATAGTCTCCGAAAATCCTTGATTTAGGGTTTTAGGGCGTAAAATTTAAAGGCTTAGAAATAAAACAAAAACATCACTTTTTTATTTTAATAAAGCGTTTTTCTACGATAATAAACCGTTTATTACTTAAGTAGACGGTACCGGAAAATCTTATATCTTTAGTTCCATTTCTAAAACCTTATTAGTATGGTTCAAGTGTCTGTCTACTTAAGAACTATGATTTATTACCATATTTTGATATTAAAGGCCATGTGTTTAAAGTGTTTGGTATTTTTTTTGATGTCTTAATAATTCAGAAATAATATCGCGGAGTTAATAGGCTCACCAAGTGAAGCCGGCCATAGTCGAGCGTGTGTCAGCTGTATTACCCTATGTCAGAGGAGTCACAGACAAGGTTGCATATATTTTGAAGCGAGCTTCCATTAAAACATACTTTAAGCTGCTAAAGAAGATGAGTCAATTTTTACCATCCGTCAAGTGTCATATCCCTCTACAAGATGCAGGAGTGCACAAGCTTGATTGTGAATGTGGTCTCTCTTACATGGGACAAACAAAACAATCTATAAAAACCCGTGTAAAAGAACATAGCTGACTTAAAGAACCGACGTTCCGGGAAGTCTGCAGTTTGTGAACATGTTCAAGATCTTCCCCACCATTACATTAGATTTGATTGACCACAAATCCTCGCAAAAGAACACCGATTCCTACCAAGAATGTTTCGCGAGGCTATTGAAATTAAAAATCTGCTTGGGATCCTATAATTAATAAAATTAAATCCAAACCCAAGTATACCACTGCAAGACTTCTATATACTGTAAACTCATTCTGCGTAGATCGGACCAAAAATTAATATTCAAAAACTATAGGTAGCCGGGCTAGCTATGACATCGGGACGTCAAACACCTTAGTCCCCCCTGTGACGATTGGTGCTATAAAGCACCTGAAACGACGGGAATTAAAAAGTTAAATTAAACGCGATAGAATCTGTAAAAATTAGTTTCATTTAATAGGCTTTTGTTTCACTTTTATCTGATCGTTTCAGCCAATTCTTGAAGTCTGGATCCTCCAACCATGAACTTTAAATTTTTTGCATGTATTTTTTTTCTTTAATTGATTGTCTTTTGTCTGTGTGAGATATCAAAAGAGAAGATGACAAAAGAAATCAATTAACTCATTAACTTATAGTAATTTGTCGAATAATAATGTGCTAGGAACTTCGGAACGGCGAAGTCTATGTTAAAATAGTGTTACCACATTTATATTCTTTTTATTATTCAATTTTACACCAAATTACCCTAAATCTCTAAAATATAAAATAACCCTAAACCATACTTTAAATGAGCGGTTTCGTCCTAAAAAGGGTGAAATCCCTAAAAGTGAAGACACTGGTTTCTGAACTGGACGACTCTCTCTCTCTCTTTCTCGCGTTTTACGAAACAACACGGAAGGTTCTTTTACCACTTTTTAGGATCTTTATAGGTACATTATGTACATTTACTTTTGTAATGTTTTGTTTATTTATAATTTGTCATAATTACATTGTTTTTGTAATTTTTCATTTATTATGAGGTATTATTATTGCCGGTGGCAACGTAAGACAACCATTACCACTTTTCTTTTCTTCTTTTGGGTGAAAATTTTAACCATATCAGTTATATAGGATTTTACCGCGTTTAATTTTTATTTTTATTAAGTACGTGGGCAACCGAGCATTGCTCGGCGTTACACAAAAAATATTATTTCCTCCAGGATTAAAACCATCGAGATAAACTTGGAAAGTAAGCAATATCTAAATAAAAAACTTCATTCATATCGTTAGAGTCCTTTCCGAAAAAACGAATTACATTATATTCACAAGGATGGATCTTTTTTAACTCAACGTATTTCACTGGTCATACAACGTGCCAATGCAGTCAGTCTTACATAGGGTTACCATATCTCAGGATTTGTCCTGAGATTTCAGGATTTTTAGACTTCTCAGGATTGCGGCTGGATTTTGCAAATCTCATGAAATCTCAGGATTTTTAGAACTTTCAGTATAATACAGCTTACATTTTAAAGATCTCTTTAATAAAAAGTTAAACAAACAAAAATAATTTTCCTTTGGTAATAATTCCACAATTAAAATCAAAACTTATTTATCCAAGTAGGTACTTAAACAGTTTTATCATACTTAATATGTGAAGATACCTTTTTAAGTAAGGTTTTCTTCTCAAACTGTAAAAAATCTCAGGATTTTTAAATGGAAATCAGGCCTCTTCACCGGACTTTTAATTTTTTCATCTGGTAACCCTAGTCTTACAGTAATGGGCACGTCTGAACCTGAAAGTATTTGGGGTGGACTTTTTGACTAAATTTTGTTAGTTTATAAAAGTATCAATATTTCGTATCACTTCAAAAATGTGTTTATTCATGTGTATAATCATTTCCTTTACTAATTACAACGTTTATTACATGTTATAATTAGTTAAGGAAATGATTATATTAAATTAAATAATATTATCTATAATGTTGAATTAATATACCTATTCACTTAATACACCTATATAAGAATTGTTCTCTTGAAGTGTATGATTTGAGCGCGATAAAATCCGTGATATTATGTTCATCTATTGAAAATAATTACATTTTAAATAACTTAGGAATTAGGAATAATTGAATTTAGTAACTACTGAGGTTTTAGTAAATACCTAGCCTTAGG